TTTTGAAAGTGACTCCACCAGGTAGAATAGAGACCCAATCGCGTACCTTAGACCATGGGTGAAAACACGGGCAAAACTCGGAAGAACACAATTGGGGCCAAAATATGACTTAAATCTGAGCGAAGTATGACAATCAAATTGTTTCTACATCCTAGTCACAGTGTCAACCACCTCAATAGAGAACACCTGGTCCTTGTTCCTCCAAAGGTGCCCTAGTTTGGAATCAATCCGTTTGACCACATCCATCGGCGTTTGCAAGCATTCGGACTGACATGTCCTCAAAGCCACTGCCACTAGGGAAAATATGGCGTCTATGTCTTCGTGGGTGTGGCCGACTTGCAGGTGGTGGCATGATGCCACCCCCCACAAGCCGGCCTGAACCATACTCGTCAACATTTTCGCCCCATACTGGTTACGAAGCTCCTTGACGGTGTTATCGGATTGGAGCCATAGCCTTAGATAGACTTCTACTTACAAGGGTTTGCTAGCTAGATCGGGAAATGCCAAATTTCAAAACTAACAGCTATATTCCAAGTAACTCCTTTGCAAACGGTGAATTTCGTGCCCGGGATCTCACCCAGACTCCTTCGCAAGCTCTCATGACCTAGAAACAGTGGCCAGGAGGATCTGCCCCAACCCAGTAATGTCAACTACTTATTACTTGACTTCAGAAGCCCGATCTGTCACCAAATTGGTGCCAAGAGACGCATTCCCAATTCCAATTGCTACCAGCACTCATCCCTTCCTGGGCGGATAGAAACATCCAACATCCAACTCCATGGCAAAGAACCGCCGTGAGAACCAATGATGCTCCTCGGCAACACGAGTGAGAAACAATGTTTAAAAACCAACTGTTTGGCCTGAGCATTTTCTCCCGTGTGCCCAAATCCTATCCCCATGTTTGTTTTCTTTTTTCTGCAAAAAATTGATCAAGGTCACTGTTGATTGTTTCGTACACGGTTCTCTTCGGGGTTCTCCGTAGGTGCCATGCAGGGAGCTGCAACTTCGATCTATCGAAAGAGTCAACTATCATGCGTAATATGTCACCCTCTGTCGACGATCTAGCCCTTGCCGCCCAGTAAACCAATCGATCTTTGTATTGGTCTGAGTAGTGGGAAAGCAATTGGTTGCAAAGCTTGGCATGCTCATCGAAGTCCTTAGCTAGAGAGCTGTCTCCAAGTTTTATGAAGGTGGTCATCATCGTCAAAAAGTAAAAAAAAAGTGGTCATCATCGTCAAGAAGCATTTAGACGGTGCGCATTTGGAAGCTAAATTTAAACAACTGAGATCAGTTCGCTTGCATTGTGGATGGCCGTCTTCAACGTCTGACATGTCACGCACATCGCGTGTTGGGATTTTTTCCTAAAGCGCAAAGCTGGAGACCAGGCCTTGAACACATTGTAAAATGTGCTCTTGCCGCATGGCTCAGAGGTACCGCTATGGCCTACCTTGCAAAAAGCAAGGTACATGACATACAGGGACGCTGTTGTGCCTGGGGGCAGCTCTCTCACAGGCAATTTTGTGGGGTCCATCGATTCCATAATTTCCACCGTAGGACCCGTCAGCTTGCGATGGATCAGTTTTTTGAGAAGCTCCTCTTTCAAGTGCTCCTCTTCACGGGAAAAGGCTGCATCAGAACCGGAAACAAACCTGAGAGTCACACTTCAGCTAGGCAGGGCTAGTTGAAATTAAGTAGATCAACCCAACCCTGACCAAATAATTGTAAGTCAAGTCTCTCCGTTGGCATTGACTCAGCAGCTGTATGATAGAGATGGCTGAAGAAGGAGTGGGCCGACGAGCTCTGTACGGCAGCTCGTGTGGTTTCACCTAAGTTTTTTGAATGCGCCCCGTTGTGTTTTAGAATTCGCGTGCTGTTTTCTAAGGCACAATGGCCCCCCCTCAAACAACAGACATTGCTGCCATAGATCTTTGGTTCAGGGTTCTGTCGTCGATCCCATGAAATGCACGTTTAGTACGTTCCAGGCGCTGCTTTCCAATCCCCAAGTATCGAATCCAGGCCATACGGCATAGTGGGTATCCTGCAAAGAACCGGATGTCAAATATATATATAATATAATAAATTATAATATCTATATATATATTTATTAATATATTATTGTATTGTTATTTGGTATATTTATATATAATGAATATAATAAATATCAATATAATCTAGTTTTTTTATAATATATATATATATATTATTTATATATATATATATATATCTTTTATAGATAATGAAGCATGTCAGTCTTACGCAAAACCCTTGTTTGACTATAGGTCCTTCAATCATCCACTTCCTTTTCGATGAACCTGATCCAACCTGTAGGTTCCATAACAGAGCGTCTTGGCTCTGCTTGGGCAGACTCCAAAAGCTTCGGCAGGTCTTCTTCAAAATGTCCGCTGGCAGCCGACACCCGCAGTCGCAAGGTGGCGCCTTCAGTAGAGCAGTAATCCGTGCTGGGTCAAGTGCGTGGACTGCAAACACAGATTGATCACTAGCTTCGGTCAAGGAATGCAAAGCATCGATGGCACCAACTCTCAAATCTACAGTGGACCGATGCACAGTTGGCGGCCCTGACTCATCATCTTCTGTCCTAAGTCTGGGGTAGGATGGCTGATTTTGGTTTACCTTTTTTTCCTCACTTGATGTGAATCCTACACAAGCCTACTTCTTGGATCCAAGAATCTCAGAACCTCCCCCGCAAGTATTCGAACCTGAAGATTGGTCATCTGAAGTCTCATCATATCGCCAAAGCGCCTGCTGAGGCCGTAGTTCATTTGCATCAGCATCATAGCGGCTCAGGACAGGCATGGCCAAAATGGCCAGAAGCGGGTTTGATACCCTGGGAATGCTGTGAGGAAATCTGAATCTGTGGGATATCTCCGTGCGATACTTTGGAAAATCATATTTTGTGATATCATTGCAAATCAAAAAACACATGACTATCATCCAACTGTTTTTTTCCCTTAGTTTCTCATGTCATCTGTGGGTGATAGGTGTTTCGCCGCCCATCTAGTCTACAATGTAGCCCCTGACGTGGTGTGGATTCACACTCCTAAGGGCAACTGCTACCGCGAGCATCACACATCGAATAGCCATTCCATTCCCTGCAAGTTGGAACAGTTCCTCGGTTGGGAAGAACGATCCAAACATGAGAAGATGATAGAAGATGGGCACCTATAATCTATTGTTGATAAGATAAAGCCACCAATCATAGTTTATGCTGGCTAGGGTCTTTGTCCTTGAAGCAATCGGTGTGAAGGGAATCAACCGGCATTCCGTGCAGGATCAGGGCCTCAAATCCTGAGATTTGCAGCGTTTGAGATGCGGCGGCTGGCGGCGGCAAGTCACTTTAAAAACTTTAGTTCAGCTGAGCTTCCTGTCAAGTAACGGCTTTGGCACCCCAAGAAGTAACTTCCATTGGGCCTCAACTAGTTTACAAATCATAAATGGCAAACCCGCTAGGTATGACTTCATTGATTTTTTGATTGCTGCATATGACTGGGCTATTTCAATGAACATTCTAAGATATGGACGTAAGGCATGGCAATGGGTCATCCCCAATCGAAAGAGGCATCCTGTGAAGCATTTGGCTGGTGTTGAGGCAGCCGATGTCATCCCCATGTTTCATAGTCAAAAGGTCCAAGGCCTCACAGAAGGTTGAAACAAATTTCGCCAAACCCCATGACTGAAACAAACAAAATGGAGAGAGAACAAGCCTCCAGCTCTCTGTGGGTTGTGATCTGACTGGCTCCTCCGGGAAAGGTTCGCCCGAAAGGAACCTTTCGCTGGCCCCGCCTGATGCATGGAAAATTCAAAGGTTTTAGATGAGAATGGACAGGTGGGTAAACTAATGGCACTCAGTTCAGTTCATGTTGGACTAGCAGGCCTTGATTCCATTTCGTTTGGCCCAAGTCTTGTGAACCTTCTTCCATTTGGCTCCCGAATCATCCCGCCTCATGATGAAGGTTTACATTTTGTGAATGCATCATCAACCAGTGTGAGAATGCCACATAGAACATCAAAAACAGGTAAGTTCATATCAAGCTAAGGGACTTGACAAAGAAAAAACGCTTCCTCCGATTGGAACGCTGCCCCATCACCTCCTGAACAAGAGGGTGATTCTTCTCGAGCAAAAGATCCTTCCTTAGCTATGTGGGTCCCCAGCTCTGGCCCCCGCAGGCATCGAGGACAATCAGTGTTAATTGGGTTTAAAAACAGTGGCAAGAAGCCAGCGCACGTCCGGTTCACATTGCAGCTGCCCGCAAATCTTCTCACAGAAAGCTGCAAAATTGGATTTGGCAGCTTTCATCATCAATTCCTCCCTCACAAGAAGAATGTACAGCCTCTTCCGAGAGACTACATGTCCATAGTCTTTCCTCAGCAGTAATAGTTGGTTTCTGAATGGGATGTATGTCCAAAACGGGTTCCAAATGCGAATGTTTAAATCTGAGGACTCAGTAATTCGACTAGAATTAGAATTAGGCAACCAAGGGGCGCATCTAGCTCCAAGAAAGCCGATTTGTACCTTGGGCCCCACAAAAAATTGACGGTGTCAAACAGTTTCGGGGCATAGTAGGTTGAAAATTGCTACCAAGTAACTCAGGCAACTTCTCGTTCAGGAGTTTCTGAAACTCATCCTTGACCCGGTTGAAGCCAGGCACGTTCTCCAGCAATCCCATCTTAGTTTTGTAGGCCATGCGCTGGTTTGTTGAAATATCGAACATCATCTAGCATAACATGACTTGATAAAGTTCCATCATCACTGCATGACTTGGTATAAACATTACATGCTGCAAGTAGCTGCCGGCTGGCAATCCTTAATGTTGTCGAGCACGCGGTACATCTGACGAGCTTCTTGTTCTTGTAAAAGTTGCGAACCCCAGTGTAGAAGGCTAAACGGGGTGCAGGGAAATCCTGCCCCGTATAGGCATACCTCCAAAGCAAAGTCTGCCGGGTGCTGCATATATAAATTCACTGACTTGCATGTAATTAATTCAGGCGTGAAGCGCCTTGCGACGCAATTGCCTGTAGTTCGTTGCAAAGATATCTTCGCTTGACCTTGGGTTTCCAGAAAATAACACGGTTGACATGGTTGGCAACTTTTATTTGGGAGGCTTTGCATGTTCTCCCAGTACGGGCCAATGCAAGTGAGTAGCCCATGCGTCGGTAGTGGGTGGTTCAGCTCAAGATACTTCCTGGCAGTTGCGTCACGCTCGCTGTTGCACCTTAAGGGTGGCTTGCCAGTAGCGCTTGCGCAAAACAGGGGGAGCGAAACAGGATAAAAAAAAAGCAGGGGAACCTGAAACATTTGTTTGTGCTCAGGGGCATGTAGGTCACAAGGTTGCTCTTGTTCGCCGGGAACAACATCTTGAGAGCGGTCAGTGGGGTATCCATACCAGAGCCTGAGTTTGAACAACAACTCACACTTCAAAAGATTTTGGGTTCTGGCATGGAAAACAACAGCCAAGTGGCAGTCTGAGGCATAGGTGAAATTGCCTCCCCAGTGTCGGAAGAACCAATCCAAGCCT